GCCGCTCAGACGTGCCATCCAGGAACGGAAGAAGGCCTTTGCCCTCGATAAAGAGACGGAACTGGAACTCCCATAAAGCATAGTTCTTGGAGTTCAATCGAACAGAAACCCTGTCAGATTCCAAAGACGATAGCTCTGATACCATGTTAGCTAGTATCAAAACACTCTCAATACGAAAACGAAGAAGAAAACGTGACACACAGTTTACGTGGTTTCCCCGATATCGGGACTAGTCCACGGGAGAGCTAGAACTCTCCGAGCTGATACTGTCTTGACTCCCAACTTGTCCAGAAGATCCTTCAGCCGATTCCTGTCCAAACCTTAGTGAATATGTCAGCAAGTTGATTGATTGTACTTACATGGAACAGCTTGATCAAACCAGTCTTTAATCTTTCTCTTGTAACGTGCATATCAATCTCAATGTGCTTTGTCCTTTCATGGAACACTGGGTTCTCTGCAATGTGGATTGCAGACTTGTTGTCACAATAAACAGCAACAGGAAGAGGGACTTTGACACCCATTTCACCCATTAAAACTCTTAACCAATCAATCTCACAAACCAATAGAGCTAATGCTCTATATTCTGCTTCAGATGATGATCTGGAGACTGTTGTTTGTTTCTTTGTTTTCCAGGTCAGAAGAGAACTTCCAAGGAAGGTACAATACCATGTTGTTGATCTTCTAGTGTCTGGACAACTGGCCCAGTCTGAGTCACAGAATCCTACAAGCTTCAACTCTGCTTTGCTGCTGTAGTAGTTACCTTGATCAGGGCAGGATTTGAGATATCTTAGTACTCTGTAGGCTGCTTGTAGGTGTTCTGAGTAGGGCTTCTTCTGGAATTGGCACAGCTGCTGCACTGAATATGTCAAGTCAGGTCTAGTGATAGTTATGTAATGTAACCTTCCAACCAATCTTCTGTAATGTTCTGGATCATCAAGTAAAGTTCCTTGTGTTGCTGTTAACTTGATCTTTGGATCTGATGGTGACTTGCATCCTTTAGCATTCAAATATCCTGTATCAGAAAGCAAATCCATACAGTATTTTCTTTGACAAACCATCAATCCTTCTGCTGTCCTGTTCACTTCCAATCCAAGGAAGTATTTCAAAGGTCCAAGCAGTTTGATCTTAAACTCTTTGCTCAAGGAGTTTTTAACTTGATCAATGTCTTTCTGAGCATCACCAGCCAGTATTATGTCGTCCACATAGACAAGTAGAACAACAATTCTCCCATGAACCCACTTAGTGAACATGGAGTAATCTGAACTTGACTGATAAAATCCATTTTTCAACATAAAACCAGTTAACTTGGCAAACCACTGCCTTGAGGCCTGTTTAAGGCCATATAAAGACTTCTTTAACTTACAAGCCATCCTCTTAGGACTTCCAGGTGGTAAAACAATTCCTTGAGGTACCTGCATGTACACATCCTCATGTAGATCCCCATTTAGGAAAGCATTGGAAACATCCAACTGCTCTAGGGTCCAATTCTTCACTGCAGCTATGGCTAACAATGCCTTTACTGAGTTAATCTTTGCTACTGGAGAAAAAGTATCCAGAAAGTCAATCCCATATATCTGTGTGAAGCCCTTGGCTACTAATCTTGCTTTGTACCTCTCAATTGTACCATCCTGCTTTAGTTTGAGCTTAAATACCCACTTACAACCAACTATATGTTTGTCTGGTGGTGCTTCAACTATTTCCCAGGTTTGGTTTGCTTCTAGAGCATGTATCTCTTCTATCACTGCTCTATTCCATTCTATAGATTTGACTGCCTCATGGTATGAGGTTGGTTCCTCATGCTTCAGTACACTTAAAGCATATATCCTATCCTCTTCATTCAAACATTCAAAATTTAGAGAGATAGGATGCTTACTTGAACTTGCTGCTGTCCCAAATGCACCAAAAGTCAATTGGGGGTCTAGTTCACACTCATTCAGCTTAGCTGGCAATACTGGTTGCCTTTGAGATCTTCTTGGTGGTGGAGGATCAAAGTCATCTTGTGGTAGTAGTTCACACTCCTGATCAGCAACCTCAGGGACTGATTCAGGGATGTCATTTGCAGGAGTTCCAGCATCTTCATCTTCATTTGGACTACTGGAATCACCATCCCCCCTTGCAGCTGAGGCCTGATCATAGGAAACAGGTGCTGAAGGTGTATGAAGTGATGATGCAGGAACCATGAGAGGAGGAGCTGATGTAAAGGTCTGAGGAATTGGACCAGTAGATGATGTAGAAGGAAAATCTGATGTATCTGAACAATCTCTGAATGGCAGAATTGTTTCATAAAAGATAACATCCCGAGACAAGAAAACCCTTTTATCATCTAAGTCAAGCAACTTGTATCCTTTAACTCCTGCAGGAATACCTAAGAAAACACACTGTCTTGCCCTTGGTGCAAATTTGGTCCTGTTATGCCCAAGTGTACTGGCATAACACAGGCTTCCAAACACTTTAAGGTTGCCAAGAAATGGCTGATGGTTGTAAAGAACTTCAAATGGTGATTTGCCATTCAGAATTGGAGTTGGCATTCTGTTAATCAAGTATACTGCATGAAGAATGCAGTCATTCCAAAAGGTTAAGGGTAATCCAGATTGGAACCTAAGTGACCTAGCCACATTTAGAATGTGTTGGTGCTTTCTTTCAACCCTGGCATTTTGTTCTGGGGTTTCCACACAAGACATCTGATGCTCTATCCCTTTTTCCATAAAGAATTCCTTCATGTGGAATTCCTGCCCTTGATCACTTCTAATTACTTTGACAGTAGTATTAAATTGGTTGTGAACCAGGGCACAGAAACCTGTCAGCAGTTCTCTGGTTTCATGTTTGTGTTTCATTAAATAAACCCATACTGCCCTTGTATGATCATCCACCACAGTAAGAAAGTAAGAGTGGCCATCATAAGACTGAACAGACAAGGGTCCCCATATATCAACATGAACCAAGTCAAAAGAACATTTTGCAATACTGGTACTGATTGGGAAAGGGAGTCTTTTGTGTTTTGAGAAATGACATACATCACAGTGTAGAATCTTAGTACTAGTTACAGTGGAATTGGATTTCTGTAACATGGAAATTCTATCACTACTGGCATGTCCTAATCTCCAATGCCAAATATCAAAATGCAAAGGATTGAAATTGAAAGTGGTGGCTGCTTGGTGGTGGTCAAGCTTCTGGTCTTGGGTTGGTGGAAAGGTGAGGTGGTAAAGTCCTCTATGCTCTCTTGCTAAACCAATCATCTTCAAGCTTAACTGGTCCTGGATATGACACAGATTAGAATGAAAATGTAAGACTAGTGGGCAATCATTGGTAAGTTTGCTAACTGAGACAAGGTTGAAAGAAAAGCTAGGGACATGAAGGACATTGTGAAGAATCAAGCCTGTAGGTAGTTTAACTGTGCCAATATGAGTAACTTGAACCCTAGTAGTATTAGGCAGATTCACATAGATATCTTGTACTGGTTTATGCTCTATGAATGAGGCTAATGAACAAGAAATGTGATCTGAGGCACCTGTATCTAGAATCCAAAGGTTTGTGGAATTGGTTTGGTTAAACTGACTTGAGGTAGACAGGCTATATTTACCTGAGTAATTAGGGTATGGTGGAGGAATTTGAGTGACTGAGTAGGCATGGTGAGGCAAAGATGGAGAGGTTGTAGGTGAAGAAGGGTTACCAGTACCAGAATACATCATGCTCCTTAACTTGTTCATCTCCTCTGGGGTAAAACCAACCACTGTTTTAGAAGCACTTACTGGACTACCTCCTGGTGTATCAGTTGAGCTGGAGTAGCCAGCTTCAGTAGTTGAATCACTAGACCCTGTTTGTGACACTGATCCTGCAAAGCTGGTAGGATTGCCCTGAGATCCTCCTCTATTCTGTGATTCTCTCTTCTTCTTAGCTCTCCAACACTGCTCAACATTGTGATTTGTTCTTTTGCAAAAGATGCAAAACTTCTTCCCTTGCCCCCTTGGTCTCTCATCTTGTTCAGTCTCAACAGCCAGTGCCACACTTTGGCCTTTCCTTCCACCCTGAGTTTCTGCTTTCAGCTTTTGTTCATACTGGAGTAGGTCATCCACTGCTTCAGACACAGTGGGTAAAGGTTTGCGAGATAGTAACTGGCTCTTGACAATTTCATAGTCTGGATGCAAACCCCTGAGAAATCTGATCAGATAATCAGTTTCCTGCCTTTCTGTGTAGGCTACAACAGCATCACATGGATTCACATTCCCAGGTGCACAATTACATGGAACTATGGGACTGAACTGTGCAAGCTCTTCCCAAATTCCCTTGATCTCATTGTGATACTGGTTGATAGTGCGGTTCCCTTGCTTGCACTTGTGGATATCATCCTCCAGGTTTGTGATGCGTATGGCATTAGGTTTACCATACCTTCTCTTCAATTCATCCCAGAGCACCTTAGCACTAACATGATTCATCACAGAACGTCGAAGATCTTTGTGCAAAGAATTCAAGATCCATGACAACACAGCTGTGTTACACCCATCCCATAGCAGAAATGTGTCATCATTCACTGGAGGCATTGGAATGCTTCCATCGATAAAGCCCATTTTATGTTTCATCTTCAAACCCATTATAACAGATCTACTCCACATAATGTAATTCGTCCCATCAAACACTTCTGAACCTATAGACTGATTCAGTGCTTCATTGGGGTTCAAGTAGAAAGGGTTACCAAAAGTTATCACCTCAGATCTGACATTGTTTTGTTGATGCTGCTCTTGTTGCTGCGTCTCAGTGTAAGTGCCAAACTGGAAACCTCGAACACCAGACATGGTTGCTCCTGAGGTTGCTGATGCAGTTGCAGCTTCCTTTCCATGGCTCGACTGTGGTGGTGTGTTCGCCATTGTAACCCTAGATGCGTCGCCGCTCTGATACCATATGGAGAAAATTTGCTAGGGTGAAGCAAAACCCTCAAAACTGCAGGGTTGCTCTGTTTGCAGTATATATATGAGCTGCATAAGCAGCTTAGTTCCAGATTGCCACTTGGCAACCAATGATTAGCCTATTACAAACCAAAGTACTGTTTAGTAACGGCTATTAACGGCTAACAAGCTTTTAAGTAAAACGATAGAGTTTCATTGTTAATGAACTTGAAACAAAAAGGAAAACGACTCCGTTCTGCAACTTCGATCTTCAGCCTCCTCTTCAGTCTGCAATCCTTCTTGCATCAGGATTAAGGAAGTTGACAGCCGTGGTGATGTCAACGCTGTCGAAGAGCCGCGGCACGAATGCGCCGTCGTCATTCATCGTCGTCTTCACCGTCATGTTGGAATGGTCAACTTCAACGATCTCTTCCCTCCCCGATCCCACCACCCTGCTGTAAGCTGCATGGGGCCGGCGATTACGTACGTACACCAAATTAAATTAAGCAAAAGAAAAAAAATATATAATTAATGAAGGCTTAATTACCAGGGCCGAAAGTGATGTCGCGGATAGAGCCTTCGGTGAAGCCGTCGCGGCGGTTGCGCTTGATGTCGGCGTAGAGGTTGGGCATCGCCATCGGGAAAACAGCTGTGGCGGCGGTGACGGCGCTCCATACGTCGCTGGCGGAGGAGAACATCCTGAATGTCACGGTCTCGGTAACTAGAGGCATTTTTGTTTTTTCCTTTTTTTTTTTTTCAGGCAAAAAAGCTAGAGGCAAGAGATTATGGAGTAGAGAGGGAAGCTAAGTTGAAGTATTGGATCGACTCTGGGATGAAGATTTCATGCTTCCATATGAAGGGTATTTATAGTGGTTGCTTACTTGCTTTCCACCTTCCATTCATTTCCCCCTTTTTCTAATTAATGCGACGAAATTTTGCCCTTCTAAATGGGCCCAACTACTTTAATTTCCACGAACTTTTATCCGCAAAACACAAGTTTCATCTATAAAAAAGGGAAAATTCTTAGCACTAACCTTGGTCGGATGCAGAAGATTCAACCAGCTACATGTCAGTTTTCTATTAGTGAGTTCATTTTTCTTTTTTATATTTTAATTCTTGATTTATTTTTGCATAATTAAGAATATTAAATATTAAGAAAAAAGGAAGGCGAGTACACCAACAACAAACTGACATGTGGATGGTTGGAGATAAGAATTTTCCAAAAAAATCAAGGTGGATAGAATCTCTTATGGATTATTGAATAAGATCATACTGATTATTAGGGGTGGCTATACGGTCTGGTTAAATTGGTCCAAATTAATACGGTCCAGTCCGGTCTTTTTGAAAATATAAGGACCGAAGATTGGATTGGATACAGTCCGGTCTTGATCCTGTCCGGTTTTGATCCGGTCCGGTCCCAATTCGGTCTTGATTTTACATTGAGATTGTGGGATTTGAGTGGCCTAAGGCCTTAAAAGGTGAGGAGTTGGTTAAGTTTTGTACTAAGTGCAAAGGTTTGTGACCGTTTATGCAAATTACCCTTAAGTTTTGGGTGTTGAGCTCTCTTATCCGGTCTTTATCAGGTTTTTTACCTCAAATCTAAGCCCAAAGATTGGATTAGATTGTTTACTATCCGGTCCCGGTCCGGTTTTCGATTTTTAATCCGGTCCCGGTCAAAATAGCCACCCCTACTGATTATCATAGTACTAACTATAAGTTTTATTTTATCAAATAAATACAAGTATTTTTGAAATAATAGTATGATTTTAAAATAATAGTATGTTTAATAATATGCTAGTATATATATAATTATTATTTGAAAATAGATCAATGGGTAAATAATTTTTAAATCAATAATTTAATTCATTAAATAAGGATATTTGTTGGGGGTATTAGGAACAAAGCCCAATGGGCGGCAGCTTGGGCTCCCAAACAGCCCAATTGGGGGGCAAGGCCCAAGTAAAAGGGAGGTCACATGAAGACAAGTCACTAGAAGCCAAAGAAGGCCAGACTGTCATGTGGTCCAGCGTCTGCGGGCGCCTGTCACGTGCTAGGAGTCTGACAAGGTGGTTGGGATGTCTGGCCAGAAAGTGTAACATCCCGTTTCGGAAAAACCCATATTCCGATCATTAAAAAATATGCGTTTTAAGTTGAGTATTTTGATAGTATTTCGACGAAAATCGAAATATCGATTAATCAAATAAACATCGATTATTCTATATATACATAAGGATAACTATTATTTTAATTATTTATATAATATGTGTAACGTGTGTGGTGTGTTGTCATGTGTATGTTAAAAGAGAAATATAAAAATAAAGAAAATGAATTTAAAGGGAAAGAGAAGCGGTTGGGATAAAGGACGTACCCATATATTTATCCATTCTTCCCAGTCACTTTCCCATTTCTGTAAGTAGACTGTAACCCACAAAGGAACGGAGAGAAGCAGAGCACGTAGAGAGGTTCGGGAGATTTTGGGAAGCTAATTTCTAGGGTTTTTGTTACACAAAAATCCCATAATCAGCTCTATCTAGCCTAGTCCTTCCATCTCCGAGGTTATATCAAAGTTTTGGATAAGAATTTCTTGAGTTTCCGATCGAAGAAATTAGGGTTTCGGAAGGTCCAGAAGTCGGATTAAGCCCAAATTTCATATACGAGCTTCCTGCAGCGAGGTAATCAATCATCTAGTTCTAATCCTTGAATTTCGGAAATTATTTAGGTCGGGGTCCAAATCGCTGAATTTAGCTCCGGCCAGGTTTGATGTGTTTTTATCAAGAATTTGACTCAGAGCCTAGAACTAATATTGACGGGGATACTGCATGGGATATTAGGACGGTCTCGAATTTTAATTCGAGGTTCGTTCGTGAAATTGACGTTTTAGTACGGGAAGCTTAAACCGGTGTTTGAACGACCAGAACTGGTGAGAGATTAGCACGGCATACCGGGTTTGTCGTATCACGATAATTATTTTGATGCTTAGAATTGACCTAGGTGAACTAGAATGGCATGATTAGGGGTGTATGGACTTTTGTGCTATATGATGAACCCTGGACTGTTGTATGATATTATTGACTTGCCCTAACCAATATGGACCTTGTTTATGTTGATGATTGCATACATGTTGCCATTTGTGGCTTAACCGTTGATATGACTTCATGGTTGTTCGATAAGGTGTTTTGACATGATGTGATATTGTGGTTGTATTTAGATTCACAAGTGGGTAAATTTATATTACCTGGTGATATTATGATGTTTAAGGAGGATGACTTGCACGAGGGTTTATCCCGAGGAAATGCAATTATACGACTCCTGATTTACCTATGTTGAGCCAATTGTGGCCAGGTCAAGTACATGTGCAAGTAATGAATTATGATTAAGCAAGATGAGATATGAATCATGTATAAGGATACCAATAATGAGTGTGGTGGTCTCACGGTCAACTACATAGTAATTAGGGCTCCCTATGCTATTACTCTACTATGATATGTATGATAGTCACACCTCTCATGTGGTGGTGACTGAAGAATTCTTATGAGATATGACCACACCCAAAGTGGTGTGGGGGTATGACTACACCCATAGTGGTGTGGGGTATTATGACCACATCCGACGGGATGTTGGGGTATGTATGACTACATCCGACGGGATGTGGGGTATGTTTCCCGGGAGAGTTATTAGCATGGGAGTAGCCAGGCGCCTATAAGTAAAACATGATAAGATGCATATGCATAAGTCAAGGTGGTTGAGTCTTTTGCCTATTGGGATGTCGGATGGCTGAGGTCTGATCTTAGTGTTTTGGCTTGATTGCTAGATGTATGGTAGGGGTATGTTTTGTTATGAACTCACGATGCAATGATTGTCTCACTCAGCTATGAGCTGACCCTCTTTATCCTTTTTCTCTGCTTATGCCATGTGTAAGCAGATCATCATCAGCAGCAGTAGATAGGTGTATAGGTGGGAGCTGAGCAAGAGTTGAAGGCAAGATGAGGTATGGTCTTCAACTATTCTGTGCTTGGACTACTACTCGGGATTTTGGCCAGTGATCCACACCTTTTTGTAAAAATGTTTTGAGAACGTTTTTCATGTGCATACTAGCTTCTGATGTAGGGTGAGATATCCACAGGTGTGGAAAATTGATGATATGTGTATATGTTGTGTAACTGTGTAAGTTGTGACGATTATGGTATGTATAAGTTTGGTATGCAGTTGTGTAGTATGAAACTGTGACTATGGCTATAAAAGTCCATGTATATGGTTGTTAGTATATAGGTTTTTCATTGAATGCATGGAATCAGATGAATTATTTTGCAGGATAAGTTGCAAGAACTGTTAGCCCATTACGCGAGTAATTCATGTTGAAATTTTATTTAGGTAAATTTTGATAATTAATGTAACACCCGAGATTAATTCCGCTGCAATTGTATGAACAATATGATTAGACAAAACGTATAGGGTAGGGTGTTACAGAAAGGGACAAAAGCATTGAATGAAGGCAGGGAGGTAGAGAGGATCAACCTCGAACTCTGGTAAGTATAAATAGGGGCAGTTGGTAGCATTTACACAGGTTGGACTCTCTCTCACAAAACTTGGATTTGGAGACACTTTTCCCTTCCAGAAAACTAACTTGGGCGTCGGAGGATTAACAGGCCCAGGCGCCCCCTCCTTGTTCGTGTGTGCAGATTAGCGCCTTGTAAGAGAAGAGATCGGAGGGCCGTACGAGGGTAACGAGTCTCAAACAATTGGCGCGCCAGGAAGAGGAATATAGCCTTGAGTCATGAGTGAAGAGGCGCCGATGAATGAGGAGAGGGAAGAAATTACAGAGGAACAATCGGAGCGAATGAGAGGGCAGGCGCCCGAGGAGGAAGAAGGCGAAGGAAGTGAGGGCGTGTTTCGCGGATCCGAGGGCGCCTCAGTCACGAAAAGAGAATTGTTCCGGATCATCGAGGATCAAGACGAGGCGATCGAGACGCTGCGGCGTGAAGTGGACGCCTTAAGGAGGAGTGAAAGGATGACGCCCAGCCCGACAAAAAAAAGAGAAAGGATGGAAGAGACGGAGAGTGAATCGGGATGCCTGAGGCGTCCCGGACTATGGCGCCCACGTGATCACAGGGCGCCGGACGTTAGCGGGTGGAATGGAGGAATATTGGGGCGCCTTTCATGCCACTGCCCTGTGAGGCAGCCGCTGGCGCGTTGCATATTGTCGGAGCCAGCCGGAACAAACATTCCCCCACTCCCAGCCTATGACGGAACTGGAGACCCCGAGGACCACCTTAACGGATATTTCACCAAAATGCAACTCTATAACAGCACAGACGCCACCCTGTGCAAGGTATTTCCGTCCACCTTTTCGGGCGTAGTTCTCGATTGGTATCATCAGATCGGTGAAGGGCGCATCGACTGCTTCGAACAGTTCGCAGCGATGTTCTTGGCGAAATTTGCCAGCAGAAAAAGGCGCTCCTTGACCATAGGCGCCTTGTTTAAGGTCAAGCAGAAGGAGGGGGAGGCATTAAGGGAATTTTACGAGGGGTGGCTATCCGTGGCCTTAGCAGTGAAGGATGCCCAGCCGTCGGTACTGGGGGGGTGTCTGAATGAGTGCACCTCCAGCGAGGAGCTATGCAGGGCGCTTGCGAAGAGAGATGTGGTAACCACAGAGGATCTGGATCATAGAGTGCAAAAGGTAATTATGCTGGACGAGACGTTGGCAGCCAGGAGGGCAGATCGGAAGAAGGCACGAGTGGAGGAGGCCGAGGTGCCGAGGAGGCAGTACCCAACGAGTGGATTGGGCTATGCGCCCGCCAGCCAGCCCCCGCCGAGGAGGAACGATATGGGGCGCCA